CCCAGCCGCTCCTCACCTTGGGCTTCTTGTAGAAGCCGGACAGGTACCACTGCAGCACGAGCTTGATGCGGGTGTAAGCGTCTTCCTCCAGGGTAGCTCTGGACAGACAGGAGGAGAACTCGCTCACTTCAGACCAGGGGCCTGCGCCGCCCCCTCCCCGGCCAGCCTGGGTGCTCCCTCCCTGTGACCGCCTAGCGGCAGGGACCCGGGGACGCACAGAGGGGCGGGTCTTGGAGACCGGCCCCCCGTGGAGGAGGCAGAGCCGGCAGGGACCACGGACCCAGCTCTGCCGAGGGCCCCTGTGGAAACCTGGGCGGGTGGGCGGGCGCGGAGGGAGGCTGGGGGTCCCCGGGCGCCCCCCTCGCTCACCTGGAGAGCAGGTCGGCGTGGCAGTAGTAGTCAGACAGCTTGCTGAGGAAGGAGCGGGGCTCCAGGACGAAGGTGGGCAGCGCCACGCGGGACAGGTCCATGCCTGGCCGCAGCTGCTTCAGCAACAGCCACATCAAGCTCCGGTTCTCCTCCGACACAGTCTCCACCTGGGACGCCTCGCCCAGCTGCCGGCAGAGGGGCGGGGGTCAGGGCCCCCAGCTCTGAGCCGCCCGCCGAGGGCAGCACAGCGGCAGCTGGCTCTGGCTGGAGGAGGCGTGATGGGAGGTGGAGTAGCCGTACCCCTGCCCTCTGCAGCACGGGTCCCCACCCCAGGTGGCTCAGGCCCACTGACACCAGCTGCCTTCGTTCCTTGCCCGTGAGCCCCTGCGGCCTCCAGCCTGGCTGACTGGGCCCCCCCCACCTCTCAGTCCAGGGTGGAGCCTCCCCGTCCTGGATGCTGAAACCCATCTGGGGACTTCGTACAACTCTGTGCCTGTGGCAGGAGGTGCCATGTGCACAGGGAGACCCCACCCCAGCCCATTAACCTCCATGACTGCCAGTGACACAGGTGATGTAGGCGACACAGGTGCTTCTGGCCTGCACTTCCTTTAGAGAAGGGCCCTCACTTGTCCAGCGTCACACGGCTGAAGGTGGGGGGCTGGCCCTGGACCCTCCTGTCTTTCCTGAGATGCCCATCCCTCACCGTAGTGCCAAACACGTGCAGCAGAAAGACCGACAGGGGGCGTGGAGAGGGGGCCTGGGCGTGGATGGGGGCGTGGCTTTGTCTCGCTGAGGCTGGCGGGGAGGCCCCGCCTCTCACGTCCACCAGCCCGCAAGCCCTCAGGTGGGAAGAATGAGCTCAGAAAGGGTCATGGAAGGGTGGCCATCTCTGTGGGCTGCTCACAGGACAGGCAGTCCCAGCAAGACACACTGCTCATCCCCCCTCTCCGGGGCGGGCCACACTGGGCTGCGGGTAGAGGAGGCAGGGGCGGGTCCCAGGCCACCGCAGTCCCCTTCCTTCTCCCTAGAGCCTACTCCTTGAGGCAGCCCCAGATCATGGGGACCCAGGTCATGCCAGCTTTACAGAGAAGACAAGTGACTTGCCCGAGGTCACATAGCTGGTATGAGGCAGAGACGGGATCCGGCTCAGGGACATCTGCATTCTTCTCCTGGAGGGCAGCCAGCCCCGGGGTGGCAGCAGAGGGCTGCTAGCAAGCAGCCCTACCTCGGAGCTGGCACCGCCCTGCTGGGCTGCCTTGCTCATGTCACTTTGCCTCTCTCTACAGGTGTGGTTGGGGCCAAGGCCTAGTGGCACTTGCTTGGACAGCTTGCCTGGGTAAGTAGGGGACAGGGAGCGCCTGAAGGAGGGGCCAGGCCCGAACCCGTGAGGAGGCCAGGAGGGGGCCTGGAGGGGGCCGGCCCACGAGCGGCCACGTGGGGCCCTAAGCACCCCCTGCCCCAGTTTCCAGGCCAGCTTCTGGACTCGGCCGGGCAGCCTTCCATGCCCACGCCCCATCTACTCCCGTTAACCCCCCTCCTCTCCACTGAGGGGGCGCTGGTGAAGGTCACCTTCTGCTCTACCTCTAAGCACAGCTGCCCCTGTGACCCCTGTGCTCCGGGCCCCCTCCTACCTACCTGGGCTCCTCCGTGGAGCCTTGTCTGTGTTCAGCCTCTGAAGGCTGGGGTGCCCGGGTCCCCAGTTCCCTCTGGCTGCCCACTCCACGCCCTAATGTCTAGACCACTGTCCCAAGCTCTAGACTGTCACACGTAGCAGTGTCTCCCCCTGACGTCCAAGCTTGGGACACAGTCCTGCCCCCGCCCCCAGCCCCCAGCTCTTTCTCCCAGAGTGCTCTTTCTCGCGGGTGGCCCAGCAGCCTGCCTGGGACCTGTCCCCACTTTGAGACGTGTCCCTAACCCTCACTTCTCCCTTGCCCATCAATACCCGTGTCCGAGGCGCCCTGGGCTTACTCCCAACGATAGTTCCCCTGGCTTCTACCTCTGCCCTTAGGTCCTCCCGGAGCCTCACCTGGACCCCGGCAGACCCCGCCCCACCCCACCCCACCCAAAAGCCACCTGAGGCCTTCCCATCACTCCGCATGAGCCGTGCTGCCCCACCTGGCTCTCTTGCGTGGGGCTACCCTGATCCCTCGGTCCCCCAGGCCCCAGGGCCCTGCCCATCCTTCGAGCTCTCCTCCAGGGGACACCGCTGCTTCAGGGGTGGGGGCCAGGCGCAGGGTGACACCCGGTCTCCAGGCTGGGGGGGCTCTCACCTCCCCCAGCTCCTCGTGGACCTGCTCCACGTAGGTGGTCCCTCTTGGCGCGGGGCCCCCGGGGACGTCCGATCGGTCACTCCCGCTCTCGTTGGTCTTCCGGCTGTGGTCCTGGGCCTCGTCGTCAGAGTCCTGGGCGAGCTCTCTCTCCGACTTGTCTGAGAAAGCGTCGTTCTCTAGGGAGGACCCGTTCAGCCTGGAAGGCAGATGGCGCCCGTGGGTCCCTGGTCGCAGCTGAGGCCTGGCACGCCCACGTGGGGCACCCCCACCCCAGGTACCCCCGCCCCTGGCACGGCCCACTGCTCAGCATTTCACACACATCACTCGGTTTAATCTCCTGGGTGACCAGCATTTGACAGTATCTGCCCGGCTCTCAGGTTTACTGTGGAGGAGGGAGCCTGCCTCCTGATCTGAGGTTCGCGGCCCAGCCGCGCACCTTTGTGGCATTCGCCCCCCTCCCTATACCAGGAGACCCGCGCGTGAGTGCCAGTAAAAGCCAGGGTCCCAGGGGTCCTCGGCAGGCCGGAGTCTCGGCTCCTGGGAAGGGCCAATCCTGCCCTAGCGCCCCCGCTCACGGGAACAGGTCCTGGTCGTGGGAGGTGGTCGAGGGGGGCAGCCCGCAGAGCGAGGAGGGCGACGCGTCTGGCGAAGACCCGGGCTCCCTGTCGCTGCCCTGCTTGCACGTGCTGAGTCGCAGGAGGCTGGAGCAGCGCAGGGCCAGCTCCAGCGCGTCCAGCCAGCAGCGGCCTGCGTGGGGGAAGGGGTGTGTGTGACCCAGCCCCGCCCCGGGGAGCGGCCCGCCCGGCTGGGGTGCACGCGTCCACACGGCCAGCTCTCCACCTGGAAGGCCAACGCTTCCGCGCTTCCGCCGCAAGGAGTCCCTGCTCCCTCCGCCTTCCGTGGGGCGCCCCTCCACTGCCCCGGGGACCATCTGCCCCGCCCGGCCCTCCGCCCCACCCCTCTAGTGGGGAAAGCGCCCTTCGCTTCCGCCTGTCCTCACCGAAGAGTCCCCCGTGCCTCCCTGCAGGAAGCTCCCCTCCTTGCCCCGACCGTTCAGGGACCCCTGACCTCCCAGCCCGGAACCAGTCACCCCGCCACCCCCCCCTCCCCGTCGCGACAGAGATCGCGGTGTCCGACTGCTCACTACTCTTCTCCCCCAGAGAGCATGGGCTTCCCTGTCCGTCACGGGGCCCACGCGGGGTCTGACGCAGAGTCGGGGGCTGGGGAAACGAGGGGGGAATTCAAGGGACCCGGGACAGCCGCGAGGGAGCGCGAGTGTGTGGCGTCTGACCACCAGGGGGCGCCGTGCACCAGCGGGTCCATCGCTGGCCCAAGGCTCCGAGCTGGAAGGGCCGGAGCCTGAGGGTCAGCTCAGGCCACCTGGAGCGCTGGTGGGCTGGGAGCCCTTCACCCCGCTTCCCGCTCCCCATCCCCTCCGGAGGTCCCCGCCCGAAGAGCTTGGGGTGGGAGAAGCCGCTTTACTCCCAGCAGCCACTGGAGGGCGCTCCAACCACGTGCGATGCCCCTGGGAGTGGGGACGCAGCCCCCTCTCCAGGCTCCAGCCCTTTCTTGCTGGGATGTCCCCCCGTGCCTCAGTTTCCTCATTGTCAAATGTGGATGATTACAGTAGAACCCATTGATTCAATGGTGTCTGGCACGTTGGCGCTAATTGTTCCCTGGTTGCTTTATATAAGGTCATCGAATTCTTATAATAATATCTGGGGAGACAAGTGCTGTTATTCACATTTTGCCGTGGGGAAACTGAGGCTCACAGAGGGACTAGTGAGTGGCTGACCCTGGGCTCGTCCCCTGACGGCAGGGTGCCTCCTTCTTGGGTGGTGGTGAAGGGGCCTGAACCTGGTCTGTAACCCCGTGGGGCGGAGCCTCACAGGTGCTGCCCTGAGACCTGGGCTCACCATCCAGCTCGGAGGTAGGACTCACCATCCAACTCGGAGGCAGCCCTGAAGATCAGGTAGCTGCTGGGGAGGGGCTGCGTGATGGAGCCCACGCTCTCGCCTTTGGGGCCCTGGAGAGGCAGAGACCCAGTGTCACCCGAGGGGACACCCAGGGACACGTGGAAACACAGGTCATGCAGTCATCCAGGCCCACACTTAGGCACACAGAGCACTTTGGGGACCCCCAGGCGGAGTCGAGCACCCAGCCACACGGAGGCCGAGGCCAGCGGCCAAGAGCGGGTGCGGAGTTTTCTGTCTCTCATTGGCTGACTCCCCAATTGGGCGTGGCCAGAATCGGGATATGCAAATCAGGATGCCCAGTTAAGTTACAATTTTGGAGAACTAATAAATATGTTTTATTAGTTTAAGTATATCCTGTGCAATATTTGGGATATACTCATACTAAAAAACTATTTGCTGTCTCTCTGAAACCCAAATTTAGCGGGGCATTCTGGCTCTGATCTGGAAATGTGACCCGGCCGGTCCTGGGCTGGGTGGCCCTGTTAGGAGGGCTGAGGTCCGGCCAGGCGCAGCCACACGTGGGGCCCTGTTCCTCCACCTCTGGACACGGCTCCAGGTGTGATGTTGACCCTATCGTGTCCCCTGGCCCTGAGCACCACCATGTGCTCTACCTGGAGGGCCACCAACCACAGCTGATGCCCTTGCCGTCGAGACTTAACCCAGGCCCCCCAGGTGTGTGGCAACGGGCCCTTCTGGACCGACAGCCTGCTTCTGGACCCCCTGTGGTGGGGGCGCCAGGACGGGCCTCCTGCCAGCCCATCTCCCACACGGCTCCCCATGGGGCCTGGCCCTCCGGAGCCCCCTCCGCCCCTGCCCCCCGCCCCAGTGGTACCTTCACGGCCCAGACGGACTGGTCCAGCGGGTGGAAGAGCTTGAAGCAGAAGCCGTCCTTCTTGGAAGGTCGCTCGAGGAGCTCGCAGCAGTGCAGGAGGACCGTGCCCACCCACTGGCCCACCTTGGGCGTCTTGTAGATGAGCAGGACCCCCGGCTTCAGCACGCACCACAGCTTGGTCCAGCTTTTCAGGGTCCCTCGGATCTGTGTGGAGGGCGCTGGCCTCAGTGCCCGGAGGGCCGAGGCCCCAGGGACATCTGGACGGCTTGGGGAGGGGCCAGAGCAGGGTGGGACTCTGGGCTGGGCAGAGGTCCCTTTTAGTTTTTAAAAGGAGCGCATAAATAATAGTGAATCCTAAGAAATGCACTGCAGCCAGGAACAGATCTCCTGGTGGAGTTCATGAAGCTCAAGGCCGGGTTCAGGTTCAAGTTCAGGTTCAAGGCCCTCCGAGGGGCCTAGGAGCAACTAGCAATGAGTTGTGACTGTTGTAAGGGTCAGCTTTGTGCAATGTGAAACTTGTCGTTTCTTTTCTCGTTCTAAATACATGTTTCCTTTTGTACCTGATTTTTATTCTTGGTTTTGTGGGAACACATGCAAGGATCCCACGCAGGCTCAGGGCTCTGCGAGCGACCAGACTTGGGGCACTTGTCTGGTGGGTTTTTCACGGTAGCTCCCCCTGCACCCATATGGAGGGGGAAACTGAGGCTCAGAGACTGAGGGCCTCACCCACGGCCTCAGTGAGGTCTGGACACAGGCCCCGACCCCAACCCTGGTCCTTGCACATGGAGCCCGAGTGTGGCCTTCCTTCCTCTGTGCCATAGCAGAGGACTCTACGGGCACGCTGGGACCCCCACCAGCAGGCCAGCCGCCATCTTAATTGGACATGGGGTCTCGGTAGAGGTATGCAAATCCAGACGAGGCCACACTGGAGTAGGTGGGCTCTGATCTCCTTGCTCACCCTGAGAACAGGACACAGAGACGCAGAGGGGCCATGTGCAGACAAGGCAGAGGCTGGAGGGGTGTGGCACAAGGCCAGGAACCCGGGAGCCCCCCGAGGCTGGGAGAGGCAGGAAGGACCCTCCCGTACGGGCTTGCGAGGGGGCCTGGCCCACAGCATCTTGGTTTGGGACTTCGGCCTCCGGAACTGGGAGAGAATACATTTCTCTTGTTTTAAGCCGCCGGCTTGTGGTCATTTGTTGGGCAGTCCCAGGACAATGACAGATTTGCAGCAAACAGATATGCTAAACTGTCTCACGAGTGGCTGGTGACATTGCACCGTCCCTTGATGAGGCCTATGCCAGGACCACGCGCGTGCCCGGCGTCCCCACCTTCAGGCTGTCGGCCATGATGACAGCGCTGGGGTCCGTCAGGGCACTGAACAGCTGCTTCGAGGCTCGCTTCTTCTCCTGCCGGTAGCTCTCCTTCTGTGCCTGGGCCGGGGGACCCAGTGGGCGAGTCAGAGGAGGAGACACCGGGCTGGCCAACCCCAGCAACTCCTGCCCTCCGCAGTCCAGCCCGGGGACGTGGGACAGGGGCCGAGGATGAGGATGGGGACAGGGACAGGAGAGGATGTGGAGGGTGTGGGGGTGGCCAGGGCACGGTGGTGGCCTCACTGACCCAGGTGCCCATTCGTCTGACAGGTGACACACTCACGCCCCTCTCCAGGCCCACGCCTACCTTGAGAGTTTCCTTCTTGGTGACTTTGGCTGTCGGGGACACACACTCCTTGTCTGACCCATTGCACAGCCTGTAGTCCACCTGCAAGAGAGAGACCGGGCTGGGGGTGGAGGGGTCTGGTCTGGGGCTATGGTGGGGGTGGGGGGGTGTGGTC